GAAGGCTCCGGTAAGGGTTCCCAAAGAAAAACCCCTTCGTCGATGTGGGCAACCGCGCCCCAATGTATTAAGTACCCATTTGGAAAACCAACTTTTTCAACTCTCCACTACCTCTTCTCACTCCCAAACCTTAGGAGATGCTTCTTGTTTGCACCACCCATCGGATATCTATGAGCGTTCAAATAGCAAGATCAACCCAAATCCCCCTTTCACTTAGTCGCATTCAATGTATGAAAACGCCATTAGATTGGTCGACAAGGTGCCTTAACAAGAACCAATTGCAACTTTGAACACACATGTACGCTGTGCGCTATCCGATGGCGCGAAGAGGCATCTATTTGCTCCCAGACGATAGACTGCTCGATCTGAAGCGTGTAGACGACATTGCGCTGCTAATCGAAGATCCAAGTTATCTGTGGAGGGTCGAGTATATTCTCGGGCAGTTAGCCAGTCGTGCTCCACCGTGCACGGCCACAACGGGAACATGTTACAAATGAATTGTCAATGAATGCACATTGCGCACTGCCCCACTCTAGTTGGGAATCCGGACAAGCATTGCCCAGGTTAGGCGCCGAGTTTTGGGTAAACGCGATGGCCCACTGGAACAAGTGGTTGACCTCCTTAAATTACGCACTGTTTTTACGACCAATAACTTTCGTGCGCCGGCTTTGGTTGCTGTCTTCTGGCTGCCTATTTGTATAAAAGAGCAGAATGAAGATTACAATGTTCAGAGAATATTCAAGCGAAAGACAGCGAATTTATATAGACTGACGTCGCAAGATTAATAAATATATGCATGAACACCACTGTTTACGATATGCAGTCATACCGCTCAAGGTCTCTAACCATCGGTGATCATAACCTTGGGGGTCCTAACCAAGGAGCCTCACGGGACCTATGTGATCTAGTTTCTTCGTTAGTGTTTTCACACGCTCATGCCAAGTCTTCGTTTAACCTTCCTTGACCACTTTCCAACCGCTACCTACCTCGACAAACACGCCGTGGCAATTTATCTGGTGACATGCGTAGCACATGTGCCAAACAGCGTAATCTATGGAAGTCAAACACTGGTTCCAGTGGACGACTGCGACTGCCTAATACTTCATGCCTAACCTCAGCATTGCTCGTTCGGCTGTCCCACCACACTCGTGCAATGCGACGTGGACAGCGGTGTTTGAATACCGAGAATCTAATTTTACCCTGCACCGGAGAGCAGGACTGGCCGAACTGCTGCTGCATGTACTCGACCCTTCACAGACAACAGGATGTCGTGACGGCGCC